ATGACTTCACAGATTTTGTACAGTTATCTGACACAGAATCTGACAATGACATTATGTTTGATGAACCCTCTGCTGAAGAAACTGGTCCTGATCTGGGTGAGGTACTGGCTGACTGGGCCACCAGAAATGGCTGCAAGCGGTCTGCATTGAATGAGATGTTAGAAATGCTGAGGCACCAAGGACATCGTCTCCCCAAGGATGCACAAACGCTGCTGCACACATCAAAAAAAGTGACAACAGTTGCAAAATGTGGTGGACACAATGCTTATTTCGGTACTGGTTCTGGACTCATCAGACCAAAGCACAGATTTCCACTGGTCTAATGTCCATTCCTTGTGTTCTTTAGCCCAAACAAGTCTCTTCTGCTTGTTGCCTGTCCTTAGCAGTGGTTTCCTAGCAGCTATTCTACCATGAAGGCCTGATTCACACAGTCTCCTCTTAACAGTTGTTCTAGAGATGTGTCTGCTGCTAGAACTCTGTGTGGCATTGACATGGTCTCTAATCTGAGCTGCTGTTAACCTGCAATTTCTGAGGCTGGTGACTCGGATGAACTTATCCTCCGCAGCAGAGGTGACTCTTGGTCTTCCTTTCCTGGGGCGGTCCTTATGTGAGCCAGTTTCTTTGTAGCGCTTGATGGTTTTTGAGACTGCACTTAGGGACACTTTCAAAGTTTTCCCAATTTTTCGGACTGACTGACCTTCATTTCTTAAAGTAATGATGGCCACTCGTTTTTCTTTACTTAGCTGCTTTTTTCTTGCCATAATACAAATTCTAGCAGTCTATTCAGTAGGACTATCAGCTGTGTATCCACCTGACTTCTGCACAACACAACTGTTGGTCCCAACACCATTTATAAGGCAAGAAATCCCACTTATTAAACCTGACAGGGCACACCTGTGAAGTGAAAACCATTTCAGGTGACTACTTCTTGAAACTCATCAAGAGAATGCAGAGTGTGTGCAAAGCAGTAATCACAGCAAAACGTGGCTACTTTGAAGAAACTAGAATATAAGGCGTATATTCAGTTGTTTTACACTTTTTTGTTAATTACATATTTCCACATGTGTTAATTCATAGTTTTGATGCCTTCAGTGTGAATCTACAATGTCAATAGTCATGAAAAGAATGGAAACTCATTGAATGAGACGGTGTGTCCAAACTTTTGGTCTGTACTGTATGAGGATGTGTGATGTTTTTAGCAGACACACTCACCCATAGTGATGTACAAAGTGCAATGTTGGACAAAGTGACATGAAAAGACAAACAGGGTAAGTGGCTGATGCTAGAACAAGAATATGTTAGTAACTTGCAAAAGTAGTAAGCAACATAACTAGCAACTATCTACATAGTGAACAAGAAGACTCAAAGGCACAGTAGCAAATAAGAGCCAGACAGGGTAGGTTAGGGACAGACTGAAAAGAACTCTGTAAACCCTGTCCTGCCTAGGGTTGACTAGGAAGGATAGGGTTTACAGACTGACGAGGGAAATGTATGTATGTGCGTTCCAGGCTGTAATTCCTTGCTTACTGTACAGGTTTCCATTATGTGGGCCCGAGCAGTTTGGAAGGAGAGAGGTCAGGAAGAGGAGGGAGTCATCCCCAAGTCCTGGATAAAGGACAAAGCTGTTTACTGGCCACCTGGCACAGATGCGTCCAAATCCATGCAGAAAATGGATACACCAACCAAAAACTGGAGGAAATTTGTGCTCTCCAAAAGTCAAATTCACTTCAAGTATGTTCATATCAATTGGAATAATATATGCCTACTTAATATTGCACCTTTCATGAATATTCATGTTGATGCATCATTTTCATTGATTCCAGTGGACAAAGAAGAGTGTGACAGCTATGAACTCACTACAGCAGCTGAGGATGATGAGGAGCAGCTAGCTCATTCCAGGCCCAAGAGGGTAGTGAAGAAGAGGACCCTTGAAGATTTTGTTGAAGGTATAAATATGAAATGAAACAGTTGTTAAGCAGGGCCAACGTTGTTGACGTTTGACATTGTGACTTTCAAGCAGGATACCAGTCTAACTGCATGTTGTGTGACTGATTGCAATTCAACTGATTCATCAGTGAATAATTCACAGAGCATAATGTCCTGCAGTGAGGCAGATTCATTTTCAGAACATAGTAAGCATATATATTACAGAAATGTCAATTGTCTGAGTAGAGATTGGGCTTTTTTTTAAAAATGTAGCATCATCATTTGCAATCCAACAGGCCCTCTCCTTCCAACAGCGCCGAAGAAATTAAACAGATCCTTGTCCAGCCTCCTGGAGAGTCAGGAAGCTGGACAGCAGCAACCCTGGAAACACCAATAAGGTCCAGATCCATGCCACTATTGCCAAAGAGATTCAGGTCCAGCAATGAGGGATTTCGCCAGCAGGAAGCCATGGAAACACCAGTTTTGTGAACTGAAGACCTTCACCCATCAACACATCAGCATCGAGGTGAGTACATATTGAGTGGTTCTAATAAAGTGGAGTATCACTTTAACATTTCTTGTGATGTTCAAAAATCATCAAATAAAAAAATGCCACTGTTAAAAATTTTCATTCAAAGAATGAATATCCATCCATTCATCCATCCATTATCTATACACCGCTTAATCATCACTAGGGTCGCGCGGAGGCTGGAGCCTATCCCAGCTGACTTAGGGTGAAGGCAGGGGACACCCTGGACAGGTCGCCAATCTATCGCAGGGTCGCCAGTCTATCATGAATGAATAATCATGAAAAAATTATTTTTTCAATATCAAACAAAATGATCAAGATCATCATTTTTGCCATAATTGCACAGCCCTAGCCATCAGAGATCTTGCCAGGAAAGAACCACACCATTGCGTCGCAGCAGTTCCAGATCCACGTCAAGGCAACGCTACAGATCTGGGGCCAGATCACGCCATCAAGAGTCAGCAAGTTCCCATGAGAGCAGACATAATTTCCCAATAGAACTGAAGAGTAAGTGTGTACTAAACAGAAAATGCTGAATGGAGAAAAAAAATATTGTACAGAATATTAAGTGATATTGCTCTCTTTGGTCTGACATTGACAGTTCCAGACGAGAGTGCTTTTCTTGCTGGCGGACATCAGAGCAAAACTCTCTGAAGTTGGCCAGCGATCGGTGCCCCTGGACTCAGGGTTTCATCTGGAAGTCATTGCCTCCATGGATGACCTCAAAGGTCTTAACGAACAGCTGAAATCTGATGAGAAAAGAAAACTGACGGTAAGTTGGTGAACAAAAGCAAACCAATTAAAATTGGTTTGTGTGTATACACACGTGCAGTGTGTCGGAAAAGTAACAGGACTGGGTCACAAAAAATCTACAAATGTTAAACATTGTTGTTACAAATCCAAACAAAATTTGTCCTCTTCAAAATACGTATGTATAGTATGTGCATTTATGTATTTTATATTTACACTGAACAAAAATATAAACACCCCATTTCAAATATTGTTGCCATGTGGAGTTAACAACTGTAAATGAGCATTTGCTGACATTTTATTGTGCAAAAGTAATATTTCTCTTGATTTGTGTATAATTTTTAATCCAACTTGCTGTCAGTGAGCATTACTCAGTGAGTTGTTTTTTTACTCAGTGCATGGATGGGGCATGTCCAGTGGGTGATCAGACAAAATGAGCAACAGCTGAACAATCCTTGGACTGGGGACAATAAAAGGCCACCCCAAAATGTCAAATTTTGTCACAAGTCATAATGCTTGATGTCGGAAGTTATGCGGGAGCGTGCCATTGGCATGTTGGATGCAGGGAAGTCCACCAGAGCGGTAGCTGCACGGCTTAATGTCCATTATCGGACCATAGGCCATTTAAGAGTTCATTTCCAACAGACTGGCACTACTGCAAATCGACCTCATCCTCGTCGGCCACGTGTGACCACTCCAGCACAAGATCGCCACATCCGGCTCGTCCATCTGCGGGATCGGCTAAGACCAGCGACAACACAGCTGATGAGACTATTGGTCTGCACAACAGACGCATCACACCTCAGACTGTCCGTAACCACCTATGAGAAGCCAACTTGCATGCTCGGCGCCCTCACCGCGGTCTGGATCTCACTGCTGTCTGTCGTAGGAACCGACTCGCATGGGCGAATGCACATGTCCGATGGCCCTTGGCACGCTGGAGAAGAGTGAAGTTCACAGATGAATCCAGGTTCCAGTTGTATCGTGCAGATGGAAGACAGCGTGTCTGGCGACGCATGGGTGAACGGTTTGCAGATGCAAATGTTATGCCCAGGGTTGCCCATGGAGGTGGTGGCATTATGGTGTGGTCAGGCATCACATACAGGCATAGAACACCATTGCACTTCATTGAAGGGAACTTTAATGCACAAAGACACCGGGACGAGATTCTCACCCCAATTGTTGTGCCGTTTGTGCGCCAGCATGACATCACCTTTCAACATGACAATGCCCAACCTCATGTTGCCCGCATCTGCATGGAATTCCTTCAAACAGAGGACATTGAAGTTCTGGACTGGCCTGCATATTCGCCAGACATGTCCCTAGTAGAGCATCTTTGGGATGTTCTGGATAGCAGTGTCCGGGACTGTGTTCCAGTTCCAGGCAATGTGGGTCAGCTCCGTGTGCCACTCCAGGAGGAATGGAGTAACATTCCACAGGCCACCAAAGACAATCCGATCAACTCCATGCGAAAAAGATGTGTTGCTCTGAGAGACGCAGCTGGCGGACACACAAGATACTGAAAAATCTAATACCTCAACCTGACCCCTATCATGTTCAAAGGACTGTCAATCCGCTACAAATGGCCATACCATGATGTTATCAATGCCGATATGAAGATCAGTAATTACTGAAAATACATTTTGAGTGTCTCTATATATTGCGTAACCCAAATGGTCATAAAACTCTTATATTTGACATGGGGCATTTATATTTTTGTTCAGTGTATATATAATGTATGCAAAATTATTTCTTCAGACAGCTCAAATGGTGAAGATTGGTGGAGCCAGCATTCGGGAGAATGTGAGCAACGTCATAAAAAGGTTAGTCTCATTAGTTAGTCTAATTAGTGTTCTTTATTAGTTTTTGACACTCCCCTCACAGCAACAGAAACCTGTTGTATGAATAAATATAACGTCTGCCATGAAATTTCCTCAATTTGTATATATTTTTTCACTGTACTTTGGCCTGACCTTGATTTAATTGTGTGTTTGTGTTTGACAGAGTCCTTTCAAATAAACTTATGTGGGGACTTAAAATGGATGGCGGTGGTGGAAAAGGGACCTTTCGCAGAATGGCCCTTTGCATGGTCATGATAGGTAAATAGAACTTCTGTTTGTGCACTATTACCTAGGTTTTGACTGACTTGCCTATTGCCTATATAATATGTAAGAAGTTTTGATACATTTTTAATCCTCGATCAAACAAGACGGGGTGAACCCCCAATATATATATACACATACACACACACACACACACACACACATATATATATATATGTGTGTGTGTACAATTAGTTGCACCCTCTCTCTCTTGCACGATCTCACAAGTCCTTTCTTAGGTGTGGAGTTCCTCCACACAAAAATTGACCTTATACTCAACACTTGCACAATGTGCTTTTTGTCAGATTCCATCCAGCGGTCACAGCCTGGAGCCAGTGAAGCTGCCATTGTGTCCCGGATGGCGGCCTATTTGCGCTCAGCACCAGATAGAAAAGGTGGTAGGGGCCGCAAGACTGCTGCAGCTGACAGTGACATTTAACGGGCAATCTAACTGTAAAGTACTGCATTTTGTTCACTTGCTGTTTGTGTTAGACCTTTAGTTACCTGTTAGCATATTTCTTTCTGAATAAAAATGTTTTGTTGTACTTGTATGTTTGATCATTGAGAGAGAATGCCATGGGGGAAACTATTGGAGCAACAGCAATTAGAACACAACAACTCAGCGTAGATGATGCCAAAATGATTACAATTACAGTAGACATTACACTTTATAGAATTGCTATTTTAAAGATAATGTGCATGAAACACTGCAGAAATGCGAAGATCTCATACACTGTCTTGTATTGCAAACATAACTGGCTTCATTTAGGTCATTTCCGTCTCGCAGGACTTCATCAGCTTTTAATCCTGATGAAGATCCGGTGAGACCGAACATTCATCTACGTAAATAAAGCCAATTCTGTTTGCAATACAAGATGGTGCAGCCTCTTTCCATCTGTGCATTTTTTTTTATTTTTTATTTTTTGCAAAAGTTTGACATAGAAACAATGTCAAAATAACATCAATATCATTATTTGAGTGAAATTTCAGAGAAGCTTAATATTGAAGTAATGTCAAAATAACGTCAATAAAATCATTATCTGACATACATCAAATTGATGTCAAAGGACTGATGTCATGTTGATTTACGTTTTTGACCAAATTATGATGACAACTTGAAATCAGTGTTTTATGTCATATTGATGTTGAATTGACATCAGATGCCCACTGGGTTTGTTGGCCCTCACAGAACGGTGACATTAAAAAGACATATTAACTTATAAGGTGGGATAGCCTTTGGATAAAAAATTGAGTGGTTCCTTAAATCTCTTAATGGCTTTATTGAAATTCACATCTCTTCTTATTTCTCCTTCCATTCTAAGGCTTGAGAAAAATGACTGCTCCTGTGAAGCTCAGGATCATTCTTGATGAAAATGATTCCCAAAAATTGATCCTTCCAGATGGAATTCCAGAATCTGTCTCTGAACTTGCACAACAAATAAAGAGACCGAGTGGAATAGAGGAGGACTTCAGGCTTCAATTCATGGATGCTGAGTTTGGGAACAGATTCAGCAATTTAATCTCAACATCAGATATCCAGGACAAAAGTACCATCAAGGTCATCTTCAAATCAGTTACACCACATCTGCCTGTTGTGTCTCCTCCACCTCCATCAGCTGCCACCTCTTCCTTTCTGGATGACTCCTCATCCCTTTCCTCTGCCGCTTCCTGTGATACAGATATATTGTCTTCACCTGAGTCCACCTGTTCACGATGGCCACTTGTCTTCCAAGTGCCCTGGTTTCTCTATGATATACAGATACAGCTGGACAGGGCCAACGCTGCTTTCAAAGAAAGTGGAACTTTGCTGAACCCGGATGTTAGACTTTAATCTGCTGTTCTTGATGGTTTAACTGAAGCTATTGCCCAGTACAAAGTGTACTTCACTGACTGTGAATTTGAAGATGGTGCAACAGCTTTAGTGTCAGCACATCCATGTTTGAAAGAGCCTGCTTCAGTCAGTGGATATGGCTGCTGGAAGACAAGCTTAAAGTATAAACTTGCCAACCACAGAACAAAGCTTAGATGGCTTGGATGCCCAGAGGTCACAATGAATTCTCTGAAACACAAACCCGATGGGAAAAGCAGTCCAGCGTATGGTATAAAGAAGCCAAAATGAGCCAAAATGAATTACTGCCCTCCTTATCCATGTGGTGAAACACCAGAAACACAGGAGATAAGAGTGGCCCTCCTCTCAGAGATAAAGAAGAGAAACAACGAGGACAGGATTGCTGCATGATGGACAAGTCTTTTTCCCATTGAAGACAAGAAGTAGTTCAAGAGGTTCCCATGATAGCTGATTTCAGAATGAGGTGGCCAGGTCTTTTTCAGCATGCATCAGGTTAAAAAAAAACATTTACAAACTGAAAAAAACTGTGGTATTTGTAAGCATAGAAATAGTATACAAAGGCAAGGATAACCAAAAGAAAACAATGAAATGTATTTGCATGCCTTCACCAGACGAAGCTGATCCTATTTGTAACATTAACTTGACCACACTGAGTTTTTATTGGTTTCTACCTTTGTTTTGTTTCTCAGGTGAATGCAGAATTTTTAAAAATTACAACCATCCCTTTGGTGAGCTGGATGCCAACTCTGAAAAACTGATCACAGCATATGGCAGGAAAGGAGGAGTTCTAGGAAACAGGATCAAGACCATCATGGCACCCTTAACAAAGGTATGACAAGATAGACCAAAAAAACCCAAAACAGCTCAACCTTATTTATTTATTCTGCAACTGTTGGTTCAAATCATGTCTTTAATTTTGTCACATATTCTCCTTGATCTCCATACCGAGACTGACAGCATTAATGTCAGACAAGAATGTGTCCTGAAAGGTCTTTGCGTCTACTTGAATGAAGATCTGGAGAAGCTGGTGAGAGAATATCAGGTATGGTAGTGGACCTTTATTTTAATTAAAGTAAGGAGTAAAGCCCTGGCTTGGTAAAATAGTTTAATATAAGATGGTCACAGTTGTTCTGATGATGTGGGACTATTTTCTCTGTAACAAAAAAAGGCAAAGTCATTGATTCTGTTAACTGTTTTGTAACAGAGCCAGAATGAAAGCATCCAAGCTGCCATGACAGAGACCATGTTGGGGATATGTGTCATTCAACATGAGGGAGCAGAGCTCAGTGATGACCCTAAGCACACTGGGACTGTGGTGGAGGGAGTTGAAGTCCTGGATGAGGTCAGAAATGTACCTTTTGCAGTGGCAATGTGTTTTAGTCTTGCATATGCGCTGGACTTTAGCTATCCTCCTGAGCTGAAATACACATTTGAAGCATGTTAACAGTGTTAGTTTCTCCAAACTAAATTGCATCTTATAAGAATTCCAATAATTTATTTTTTGTGGTTTTTGAGTTGGCCAAGCTTGTTTCAGTGGATAATTTTTTGATAGTCTTTATTTATTGCAGTATGTAAGAATTGACTTTTGAGAGACAGCTTGGTATTGTTCTTGTTTAAAAAAAATAAAAGGATGTACCATTTTGTCCTGTCCCTGCTCTCAGGCCCACTACAGCTCAGCTCAGCACTCCATGAGTTTGTGGAGTCCAAAGGCAACTTTGGATTGTTGGGTTCTCTGTTTAAATTTGTAAGGTCTATTTCTCAATATGCTAAGAGCTGTGAGATAGCATATGTGTACAATTGTGCTATAAAAATAAAATTGAATTAAATTGAATTTGAATTAAACATGGAAAAAATCAAAGAGATGGTGATGACCTTCTCCAACAAGTAGCGGGAGGTGGCTAAAACAACTGTCAGCAAAATCCATTGAAGACGGTAGAGATAGTGGATGGATACAAATACCTGGGCACAAATTTTGATAACACATTGAAATTGGCCTCCAACACTTATGAGATCCTCAGAAAATGTCAGCAGCAGCAGTTTCTACTGAGGAAGCTCAACACTTTTGATGTGTCTGTTATTATAACTAATAGAATGACAGTCAAACTACCAGATAAAAGAAGTTGCAATAAACAGCACATATTATTTGTAGCATTATTCTTCACGTATTTCTGTTCCTGTCCATGACTACAGCCAGTATGCTAAATTTCTTAGTGTTGTCAGAGCTGTTAGGTCGAGTTGTCTAAGTGGGTTTTACTTACCACGTAATGTTTCCAAGAAGCTATGGTTACACTTTTTGTAAACCACCGTCTCCTACATAGCAAAACATTTATTTGTTGTAGTTTATGTAATGTGACATGCATGAATCTGCTTTAACCCCTTGGAAATAAGTCTATTAGTTTACTACAAAATGTAGGAAACTGTGTAAGTCTCAAATATCAATACCACCTTCACACAACTCTCAGTGAATGTCTTGATGGCTAACACAACCAACAACTGCTTTCTGATAAATTACAAACAGGATGTATGAAACTTGAGGAACACTTGAATTACAAATGATCTCAGATAACATTCATTCTTTCAGTAAAGGGTTTTTCAGATTATTAGCATATAGTTAAGACTTGGGAAAGGTTATGCTCATAGTTATAAACATAAACATTACCAGAACAAAAAGTCTGGCCTTAAATGATTATCCAAACTGACTGCTAAACTTTTTACCAGCAGCATTATGCTACTACTGCTGTACACATAGTTTTAATGAGTAATTATTTATGACAGTTGTAGTGTATGTAACTTCAGTTTTACTGCAAATAAATAAATAAATAAATCTCAACAATGAAGATCCAGATTCAATTAAACTGTTATTCTCTTAAACGGAAATTGCTGTTGTAACAGAAGTCACAGAGAAGCCCTGAGAGAAAACATCTGCACACCATTTACTGGTGCCTTTGAAAATAATATTTTCTCAGTCAAACACTTCTTTGAGTGTACAGTATGCTTTGCTTTGCTTTCCAGCATTGGTCACTTGACTTTTTGAAGTTTAATTATTCATCCATGCAAAGCTAAATAGCACACGAGTTCAAATGTTGTTTCATTCATTTTTCAAAAACTATTCAGAATTACATCAACATGCTAAGTCACATCTCTTTTACCTCTATTATTACTGGAAATTGGATTTTTATTAAATGGCAGCTATAAAGTATTGCTATAAATATTTGAAGTGGGTCAGACAGAATATTTTATGAGCATTGAGAACAGACAGATGTATGATGACACGGGACATGCTGCTAATTTGTCTGTGCTGTTGGAGGAGATATCACAATTTCCAAGTACTGTGTGGATGTGTGAAATATTTGTCTGTGTGGAACCACATGGCGGCTAAACAAATACAGACATCATGGGCAGACTGATGTGCCACATATTTGCCATCCAATATTCACATGAACTGAATGAGGAAAATCTCTGTGCTGGAACACATTTCCTGTTACATTTTAACATCAGCATTTTACATCTCAGCACTGTGAGACATTGGGGGAGGCAGTGGGTGG